AAGAAGAAAACTATATCTGATTTTAGTTTAAAAGGAATTATCTCTATAAATCTTTTAATTCTGGAAGACGGAATATTTACATGTAGTTCAGCCTGTACTGGAAGATTCAAAAATTTTATTTTTATTTCATAAAGGAAAGGGAAAAATCTGCACTATTTTACTCAGTTTTAAGACTGTTTTGGTCAGATGAAACAAAACATTCACTGAAGTTGTATGAAATTTCAGAAGAAAGAGAGAAACTGGGCTTTATAGAATCAAAATACTCAAATATACAAGATGGTATAAACGGAAAGAATTTAGGAAAACAGGCAGCAGGTGTTAGAGGTGCTTGAGGGTTGGGGAGAAGGGAATGAACACCTCTCATCTGGAAAACAGACTGGTTTGAAAGTCAATGAAGCTTCGTAATTTGGGACTTCGATCCTTACGCTGGCCTAAAGGTAATCCTGTGGCAGTATGGAAAGGGAAGCAGTAACCCAAGGAATCATTTCTGATGATGATTCCTGTCATTTGTTTGATCATGTAGTCTTAGGAAATCACTTAGGAAACTGAAGGATTATCAAAGAACAAAAGAGGCTCTCAAAAGTTTCATCATTTTCATTAATTGCTACTACTATTACTCAATTTCAGCTTTTTAAACCATTTTTGCCACCACTGTTTTCCAGCATAATATGTTTGCATGTGAAAAAACAGCTAGCAAATTTAATTCTTAATAACATGTGCTCCCCTAGCCTCTCTTTCTGACCATCTTAGTGGAAATGAAGGTCTGAAACAAGCCATGCTCTTAAATACAGTCACCCTCTCTCCTCACTTCTCACATACACACAGCGGCTCATTCAAATCCGTGGGATGATCTAAAGGAGCCTGGCTGGCAGCGCGGACTCCAGAGCCAGGCGCAAGGAAACATGAGCTACGGTCAATTCCGTTTCACATTCTTTCAAGTCCCAACAAAACCAAATGCCTTACACCTGAGCTTGTTACAAACTAACAGGACATTGCTCCAGCAATGTTAAATATTCTTGTACAGCACATGCATTCATTTGAAAAAGCCCACTTCGCCTACCCCTGACTAAACTCCATTAAAACTAACCACAACCCGTTTGAATTCAGAGGCAGGTCTGCAGATTGCACATGTGAACTCCACCTGGATCCCCCACATTTGTGGCTTTTTTGCACTTTTGCTCGCCAAGGAGGTGAGCAGCGGTCACCCTTGTTAAATAACCCGTTACACCGATTTGGGTGCCACGCACAGATATCGGGCCCACTCATCACAGCGCAACAGCATCAGAGCGACGACATCCCACGGTAGCACAACGGCACAAAACAGAGCGACGACATCCCACGGTAGCACAACGGCACAAAAAGGACGCTGCAGTCAAGATCACCAACGCCGCTTCCAGTGCCCCACAAAAAAACGTTATTTACTTCTCAAATCCTCTTCAGCAACACCCTGAACAATTTCCCGAGGCCCTGGTGAGAGCGTTTCGTTCGGTGCAGCGCCGGCTCAGCAACCAGCACTGCGCCAACGCGGACAACGCGGCCTCACGGGGCACCCGCGGAGGGCATGGACAAGACATAAAAGGCCAGCGCCGGTCACAGAGGCACTTATGACTTAGCATGTGCAGCTTTCAAGATGAATGTTTAAACTGAATGAATCTAAATAACAGAGGGTTCTAAAGAATAAGAAATTGCTTTTGAAACAGCATCGTGAAGGGATCCAGCAGCACCATAACAAAGTGGTTTCTTCAGGGCCCAGTTGGAGCTTCAAAGGAGAGATTCGCCTAGGGCAGAAACTCAGCATAGGATCTGCAACCTGGATTTTTAATTAGATAAATTTTGAAAGCAAATACCTTTGGCATTCCAAAAAGAAGTTCTACACGCTAAGGCCCAGGAACTGATAAAATAATTGATCATTCCTGGTTGGTGACAACCTGAGCTAAAATACTTAGATATTAGCCCACTTTCAGTGTGGTACCTCTGATGACACCAAGAACGATGCTTGCCTATCAGTGACAGCTTAGAGCCCATGGCCCGTGTAGGACAAAGCCACGTTTTGGATTAGATTAAACCTCTGTTTTAAGAAACCTATCCCCAGATTGACTCTTCCCATAACAAACGTACAAAATACCTACAAATACCATCTAGTTAACCTTTGGCACAATGAAGTGAGCAGACACAGCAGCAGTCAAACGTAGGAAACCTGGTTTCCTCTAGCAAAGCATAGGTCTGCTGAGGTCTGTTTTAAAATAGCTGGATTTAGACTACAGCTTTTTGCCTGAGAGAAGAAGAGTAAGAGGAGAGGCACTGATACGGGCTCTCTTCTACACAAAATCTTTAGGAATTTTATAAGGCTAAATTCTCTGTCTCGGAATTATCAGAGAAGGGTCAACACGATAAGTTATCCAGGTGACAAGGAAGATGGAAAAGCACAGAGAGGGAAAGATGGCACCTCTCCATGAATCAGGATAAAAATACGTAAGGTCTAAAAATTTTGCCTGCTATAAAACAGCTTGAAAAAGACAGACTTTCAAGGAACAACTAGCATTTCACCTGTGAAAAGTAAGTGCGTTCAAAGTACTTCAAGTGGCTTCAGAAGCAGAACAGAGAGCGGCGTTACGCCAAGGCGCCGCCACCTGAACCCTCCACCCTGATGGCGTGGAGGTTTGCAGCTGCTTTCTCAGGCCAGCACTGGAGCAGGCAGGCACCGCTCCGGGCCTCCAGCAGCACAGGGACAACAGGTCTGCAAACCAACCACTGCCGCTTTCAGGACGTTTATTTAGCCTGTTCTTGCACAGAGAAAGGCAGGAGGGCACTCAGAATGCCAACGGTTCCTTCCTACCCTCTCACTGATTTTCTGAGACAAATGAAGCTTCCTCAGAGTCAGACGATTATTCTGGGGCAAAATTCTGTGTAACTCATTATCAGTTACAGACTTGTGCCCAAAAGCACCGTGTCTTCAGTGCTGGCCCTGGAAATCAGAATTCACTTCCAAGGACACACTACGCCACACGCTTCGCTCCAGTCAGAGTCCTTGCTTTAGAAACCTACACACCTATCTGTATTTCTCCACGATTTGAGCCTTAGGGTATACGCCAGTGCACAGAGAGGCAGAAAGCAATGCTGGTGGTGAGGAAGGAAGTGAGACTGGTTTAAATGAAAGGGAGAGGCATCATCTCGGCACACAGACACATATGCACCCTTTTCCTTCGTGCTTGCACGCATTTTGTGTACACATTATAAAACCACATAAAACATCCTCAGAACATTCTGGCTTGTACCGACTGAGATTAGCTTTTCATTTGTTTCACAACATTATGAACACTTAAAAACCCATGATAAAAGCGAGCACTCTCGGAGTAAGACTAAACACAACAAGGAGTCTGGAAGCAGGTACGCAGAGTACAAAGACTCCTGAAAGAATATTGCTCCTTTTTAAACATTAACTCCAACCCCTAGGACACTGTTTACACATGAGCATACCAGCTGTCTGCACAGGGCTACGCTCTCCGAACGCTCCTTGGACACAAAGACCTTGTATTTCTATCCCCACCAGAATCCTGATTCTTCCCAGCTCCGCATGGAGCCCTGGATACACCTCCAGCCTTGGATACACCTCCACCTGGATACACCTGGGGAGCTCCAGCCCTGGATACACCTTTCCAGCACCTGGGACACTCGCTAGCACTGTGCTAGGAGAAATCCAGGAGATCTGGCAGCTCCAAGGACTCCAAAAGCTCCATTCTGAACAAGCCCTTTCCCAGTCGCTGCTCGTCCTTTTTGTGCAAGGACAGAACACAGCAGCACAGGCCGCCGGTCCGTGTTCGTCTGCAACAGTTGTGCAGGCTCAGGCCACTCCACAAAGGCCATGCCTACTGCACCTAGCGAGCAGCTCCTAATCCAGCAGACAGGAGTTCTTTCAACCCTAGCTCCTTGAGAAATATCCAGAGGAAACACTGGCTAAATTCTGCATTTGCAAAAGAGGGAAGAAGATGCAAGGAACATGAAGTCAGAGCTGAGAAATCGTTATGTGCTATGGAAACAACCACAATAGTTAACAGCCTTCTAAGGAGAAGTTATCAGCTTATGCACATAATTACATAAAGAAATGGGCAAAGAAAAACAAGAAACACTCCCACAGCCAGGTGCAGCCTAACAGGAAAAAAAAAAAAAAAAGAAGAAGGAAAATTCAGAATTAAGAGGCCAGCTGCAGTTTTTCTGAGGCAAGCTACACAGGAGCCAGTTGACCTGACACCAGCTATGCTCAGCCCAGGAACAACATAAGGAATTGTCAAAAGACACACGGAAAACGGCACAGCAAAAAAGGAAATGAGTCTTTACAGTCTGTGTAAGACACTGCCACATGGCAGCATAATGCATCATCTTAAAAGTACTCGGGAAGGTGATAATTAGCATTATCAAACCAATGCATCAATTCTTCTGGTCTCTTAATTAGGCTTGCAAAAAAAAATCCGTATGGTCCTTTACTGTTTACACAGGAATATTACCCTGGGATTCTGGTAGACATTATTTGCATGAGTCAAAAATAAGCTTTCCTTTACTGTTGGATCTCTGTCTTGGCTCCAGATTTCAGTGAAGGAGAACAAACAGTCCTCCCTCCCCCATTTCAAGTGATAGTTCAAAAGTAGGATTTTTTTTACCCTTCTACCTTTCAAAAATCCACCAGTTTATTCAACTGAAAACAGAGCAGCTCGTCCTTACCCCAGCACTGTAACCATGACTTCATTTTCAAAAAACAGGCCTCCTCATATTGAATGCCACCAAACATGTACCTTATCCTTTAGCTCAAATATATTTTGCATGACCTTACATGAATTGCTTAGATAAAAGCCTTTTTTCTTCTACTTTTGTTATTTTAAAGTGCAGATGCATTTGAGTCATTTTCCCCTTTTGTTTCATATCCTTAAGATCCACAGCTTCAAAGACAAAATGTCAGCATGCAGTCGATTTATGACTGAACTCTTGAAGAGATACTGAAGAATTACCTTGTCAATCACCCCAAGGACTCTGAAGGCCTTCAGTTCCTCGGCAGGGCTCCTTAGGTTCCAAGAGGGCCTTGAACTTAGTGATCCTGGAGGCTAATGGAAGATATCAAAGATTATACATCAATCAGGGTGGTACTTGAAGGAAGACTGCCTGCTGAAGCAAATGCCAGGCCGAAGGAAACTAAATTTATCATAAATCAGAGAGAGTGAAGATGAAAGGAGAAGTTTCTGTTTGTCCTTAGTGGAGAAAAAAAAAGCAACTTGCAAGTAAATAAAATCAAGATAACACTGAAAAGAAAAACTTAAAAAAGAAAAAATAATTAGTTTATACACTTGCTATGCTTAATGAAACTTGGCAATCAATTGCTGAATTCTCACCCCATCCCAATAATCAATGAAAGCCTTATAGGTATTCTGGATACAAGATAATTCAGAGATCACTGAAGAGGGAAAAAAGAACAAATTAGAACCTTTTTAAGTTAGAAGAACATAAAATACAGAATTATAAACAAGGCTACCTTGTTCTCTAGTGAGCTCTAGGAAAATCTTTCTAATAAAAAGGTGTGCAACATAAATGAATCTCAAAACTGCCTTAGAAAAAGACAGCAGTGCATTATTATTCTAGAAATTAAGCCATGAAGACTATTCCAGTAGTGAATAGGCATTAATTTTTATCTATGTTGTGTTTTCTAATTTTTCAGGATAAACTCAGAGCTTGCATGTCAGGGGAGTGAACAATATTTCACCTGCATGACTTCTGAGACAAACGTGTGCCTCTTATGCATCACACACAACTCTGGCACTTTAACAAATGTCTTCAGAAATTTTCAGTGGCAAACCGAGAGAATTCTTTAGATCCTTCTCCAAAATTTCAGCAGGCAGCTTCTACCAGAAACACAGACCTGAATCTCTTCCTCACAAATACGATAACTTCATTTGCAAAGGCGTCAAATGCCAAACTCTTTTTAAACGTAAACCGGTCACACCAAGCCCACTTCTCTTGCACAATGTTAAAAAAAGAAGGTGAAACTCCTTGATTCTTAGGTTTCTGAAAGGCAAAAACTGGTTAACTGATTTTTCAGCATCCTGAGGCAACACTTGGCAAATATCACACAAAAGAAACTCACTGCTAGCAGTTATGCTTGGAATGCATCAGGAAAAAAAAATAATAAATTACCTTACAATCAGAAATTCTCAGGAAAAAATAAGCATCCCAAACTGAATATTCCATTGGTTCACCTTTCCCCTCCAACATTTTTACTGTGCTCTCCTCAATGTTCACAACGCCTTCCTGAATACTCCCCACCCCTGATCCCATTCTATCTTGCCATTTCACCATCTTCTCTTCCCTCAAATTCTTTCCTAAAATCAATTTTTACTTTAGCTTTGTCAGCAAAGTTCAACAAAAAGGTCAAAAACACATGTTCAAGAAGCATGGAGAAAAGGGTGTTTTTCTTTTGTTTTCACCTACTAGACACTGTTTTTCAAAGAGTTTATTATTTATCTTCATTTATCTGTCCAGGTCTTATACCTTATCATCTGGGTTTTGTTACTAAATGATGCAGAACAGGAACACTGACATCCGTTAAAAGAAAAGATATCCATATGAAGGGGAAAAATATATATATATATATATATTCATGAAGCTATTACTCCAGATCTAATTTAGGTTCCACATTCTATCAAAGTATCAGAGGGTCAAAGGGAGGTTCTTTTGTTGGGCTGTATTTTGTTTTAACTGCGCGTGATTTATCTGCAATAACAAAGTATTTGCTTTGAAACAGAGAGTCATGCACAGTTTACTCATGACAAGACTTCAAAAGTATTCAAAGGTATATATTTAACAAAAGATTTTTTCCAAATCCTCTAAACCACTATAAAAGATTTCCACTTCTATCTGCATGCTATTATTTTTATAACCATTATAACATCTATATCGTTAAGATCTTCTCTTATTCGTAACATTTCAACCAAGAGTTAATTTAATAAATCCATACACAAGTTGTCTAATAATGCTAAAGAGTCGGAATTTTTCTCCCATGTCTGAAAAGCTTGAAATAAAACTACCTATATTTGAGCCCTTCTCTAAAATATTAGCAGTGACGGCACAGTCAGCAATACTGTGTACAGACTGCTTTTTCATGTACTATTCTACATAGCCACTTCTTACCAAAAGCAATTATCATATCCACATCTCCACAACCCCCACAGCATCTCTGTTTTTACCAGTCTCGGATTATTCTACATTCTTTACAGTATTTTGCTTTCATGGTTACAGTCAGGCAAGTTTATCACATTAGCCTCATCTAAGGCAAGAGCACCCCTGTCCCTAACCTGAAGCTGGGACACAGCTGGGAATCTGGAATCGCAATCAGGTAGGGATGCGGCATGTGGTCTGGGAATCCTTGAGACAGAATTTCTATTTTGCATTGAATTCACGTCTCATAGGACAAATAGCAGTACATTTTCTTTAAGGTTTATGTAATTGTAATGCACACTTAATGAGAATTTTAGGAAACACATTTCATGAAAACTGCAAGGGGTTAAGACTGTGCTTTTGCTGCTTGGAAGCAGACTTGCATTACTAACCAGCTTTGAATATTGAAAATAATTGTCATTTTGAAAGACAACAGCTTTTATAAAGGTGCAAAATGAGGCGATTTTGAATATAAAAAATTAGGCATAATTACAACCAGAAATAGTTTGAAAGAGTGAATAAGTGTAACGTAAAAACGTTAAGAAAGTTAAGAAAGCAGCTATAGCCTGTATGTGTGCAGGGCTCTGCAGCTGGCAGATATGCAAGACTGCAGCCTTCCGACGGTCCATCCCATGCAATTCAAGGCTGCAGCAGCAAGTTCCCACTCAGGTTTGAGAGGCTGCTCTTCATGAAGAGTTACGGGAGAAAATACAGCTCAAGCAGCTGCAAAATGGCTTGCCAGCGCCGCGACACAGTGTTCTCAAGGGTTTGCATTAAAGAAGGCCCTCGAGGCTGCCATGCCACAGGAGGAGGAGGAGGAGGAGGAGGGCAGCGTTTGCAGCAGCTTGTTTTTCCAAAAGGAGCGCATCTCTGTGTACCATCTCCAGACGCCCCCACATCCCCTTCTCCTACAGGTCACGGCAAAGCTTTTCTCACTGTTTACGAGACCCTGTCAAGTGAGTTCCCAGTTCACGGTCAGGCACGGCTGCGTCAGTTCCCTGTGCTGCTTCTCAGCCCTAAGAAAACCTCCCTCATCCTTAAGCCCTCTGTCCACAACCTTTTTTTAACCGTGCCAGGAGTTTTCCAAACACATGCTCTAGTGCTTCTCTCTCCACCGCGCAGGCTTGCTGGCAGAAAGGCGGTTGCTAAGGATGCTAGGCTTGAGGGCCATGCTGTTAGCTTTTTGCTGAAGGCAAGAAAAGTAAGGAACTATCACTGTTCTTTGTTTGGTTTCCATGGCATCAAAGATGATTTCTGCCTCTCAGTTCTGAAAGGGCAGGCCTACGCCTCTAGGGAGATCGTAAGCCCTTCTCTGGTCTTCCAAGCCGCCAGGGCCTGGCATGTCTGGCCACAGGCTCTGAGATAACCCGCTTTGCTTTCCTGTCGCCTGGTCTTCAAGTGACAAGCAGGTGGCTTCGGGTATGTTTACCAGGCACAGATTTCTGAGGCTGCTTCATCTGGCTCAGCACAGGGCTGGCACACAGAGCTTTTGGGAGCCCTGCGAGGCCGAGGGGTGCAGGACAGCAGTTGAATCTGCACTTGTGAGCTTACCTCTATCCGAGGTGGATTTTCTCCAATGTGGCTGACCAGAAAGAAAGAAAATGCACTGATCCAAGTGGCATTTTACAGTTACTTAAACGCACATACACATACGTACCCTGGCCAAGCACTCACATTTGAACAAAAAATGGTATAATTCAACAGGAGCTACCATAGGAGGAGATGCTAGGGGCAACAGAACGGTCTTGCCTCAACATGACCAATGGCATGTAAATGGCAGCTAGAAACTGCCCCATCCCCAATGCAAAGTGAAGGTGCAAAGATGCACACACACTAACCTTTAACCCTCCAGACTTATTTCTTTGGGAGGATCACACACAATATCTGTATGATTCCACTAGTGAATATTCTCCCAAAATCACTTTGTGTAGATGCAGGTCATTTCAGCACTCTTAGCTTTGTCTGCATAGGCTGGCATAATTCTCACAAACTTCAAGGTAAATTATCTTCAGGAACAAAAAGGATAAACAGTCATTAAAGTACAACAATTTAGGTCAATTCTCGGCAGTGATTCCTGTCACTATGCTTGCAATAAGTTTGATATGCAGGTCCCTCTTCCTATTCATTTTCAGGTATCAGCTCAGAGACAAGTGGGTCCTCTCCACTGCCATTATGATCCATGAGAGCCATCTATCCCAATACCAGCACATTCCAAAACTCTAAGATAAAGTCAAGTTTCTATGTCACAAAGAACAGGAAAAAAAAAAAGGCATAAACCTGGTAAAAACAAAGTCACTGAGCGGAAATATCACTTTTTTTTTTTTTTTTTTGTAAAAGAGAGATTAAGCCAATATTTTACTTGCGTAAGGTTAAGATCTGCCCTAGCTTGTCAATTTTGGGTTTCTATACAGGAGAATGGTCTTCTATTCTCACCTTTTTGAAGGGTGGAGGGTGTCTCATTGCAATTAACCTGCTTCCCTTTCAATCTGCAAAGGCGGCACTTGCCATATTCAGTACAGCCTTAGAGAAGAAATACTTCCCAAGTTCACATACAGAAATACAACCTATTTCTTACTCGTTCCCAACCACAATTTTTAACTTATAAGAAAGCAAAAATAGGTTGCTCATGGCTTTTTGGTATTTTTTTCTCTTGTTCTTTGGCTCCCAAACATACAAGGGTATTCAGCATAGATTCTTCCTCATTTTCAGGGGCGTTTGACCCAAAGAAAGGCTATCTACCAGGAGTTCCTATCAGTCCAAAGTACTGTATTGTTCAAAGTACAATTCATAGCAACAGCAAGACTCCAAGTCCCATAGAATATATCTCATCTGGAACATCCTAAAAAGTGTGCTCTCATCATAGAAAAACCTTTTAAAATCAGTGATTTTGCTATTTTAATTTACTTATTAGACAGCTGGATTTCATAAGGCTTCACATTTCAGCAGCAGTGATTTCCTTAAAGCACTCTCAGACCTGTGCAAAATAAAAAGCAACAATCTTCTGTCCTTTCTGTCCTTAGCCGGTACAAACGCAAACAGAGAGGAAGTTAGAACTTTGATATTTAATACGAGAGAGGGCAGTCATTGACAATCACATACTGTTTAGCAAGCTGCAGTAAAATCCAAAGAACAGGTAAGTCCCAAAGGAACTGGACGAGGAAGGGCAAAGTAGAAATTTATTGAAGGTGCCTTGGAACAAGCTTTGTTTGTCTTTTGTACAAGTAAAGATAAGGATGTTGCTCCTTAAGGAGGTGGGGATTGCTTCTGAAACTCCTCAAAAATCAAGCAGCTGCTGCTGACTCAAATGTAAACAAGCTAGGTATTTGAAGGGATCAGGAAGACCTTTGCTCAATTAAGCATTTATTTAGTGAGACATTCTTCCTCTCCCACCCTCCTCAAATGAATTTGATTCAGTTCTGGTAAAACCATTATCCACTAGGCTAAAGAAGCCAACAACCTTCCCGTTCCCTGCAGAACCAAGCAATACCCTCCATGGGAACAAAAAGAAACTTTATGTTCTGGGGTTTTTTTGTTTGTTTGTTTTACCTTTCAATTCTTTAGCATTACTAAAAAAGGCCTATATCATCCAATGCAGGGGAGAAGGCTAAAAACCCAGGCCTGGATTAATCAAGTACTCTTTCTAATACTATGAAATGCTGTGAAAGAAAAGTACCTACCAACTTAAGGGAAGTGTAGTATCGAAATACTGTTCAGGCCTCCTATTAGAGATTTTTTAAAATACTAAGCATGAATACACTCTGCTAAAAGATAATCGAATTATATCAAATTCTGGTTCAGGAAAAAACACAAAAAACACAACCTACCATAGAAATAGATGTATCTTCAGAGGGTTTATGGTAGAGACTGGAAATTTTTTCAGCACGCATAAGGTACTCTGCAGTCTTCCTTTTCACTGCTTCTCGACGAGTTGGACTCGATTCACCTCAATAGAGAAAGAAAACATTATTTTTTTCTATAGAGACAAAGATACTAAGTAACCAAAGCATGTGACTACTTTCATTTTACCTTTTTGACATACTTCGGATTGTTCATATTTATCATGACCAAGCCTAAAAATATGCATCTTATAAAGTCATAGACCTGTGAAGTATGTAAAATATATGAAAGATATATGAAAAATAAAATTTTGATCCTGTTATAGACTAAAGCAAACACTTACCTCATTTTCCATCATCTGGTATACATTCCTGCGATAACAAAAGCAAGAACCGAAACAAACTACTGATGCAGACTTTGCATCCAAAAATAAAAAGAATTACGGAAGACACAGTGAGGAACTTGGAAACAACGAAGAAATTGTCAGAAATACTATGAATAGACAGAAGGCACCATTTGAGAGACTAAGACCTCTCCCTCACAGCTTTCTCATGCTGACTGCTCCTTTCCTGCCTGGCTCAGGGTGACATATGAAGACAAAAAGTGCTCACACCAACAACTTCACTTCCCAGATGGCTGAACATCCTCCATGTTATGCTAAATTTATCCAAATGTTTACAAGAGATGAAAATACCATAGCATGGTACAAATTCTATGTTTATTCTAAATCACAGAATCATAGAATGCTTAAGGTTGGAAGGGACCTCTAGAGGTCATCTAGTCCAACCCCCCTGCACACGCAGGGTCACCCAGAGCACGTGGCACAGGACTGCGTCCAAGCGGGTTTTGAAGATCTCCAGAGAAGGAGACTCCACAACCTCTCTGGGCAGCCTGTTCCAGTGCTCTGTCACCCTCACTGTTAAGAAATTTTTCCTTAAGTTCCTGTGGAACTTTTGGTGCTTCCGTTTGTGGTCATTTCCTCTAGTTCTGTGGGTGGCCACCAGTGAAAAGAGACCAGCACCATCCTCCTCACTCCCTCCCTTGAGGTACTTATAGACACTGATTAGATCCCCTCTCAGCCTTCTCTTCTCCAGGCTGAACAGGCCCAGCTCCCTCAGCCTCTCCTCATAGGGCAGATGTTCCAGGCCCCTGATCATCCTTGTGGCCCTGCGCTGGACTCTCTCCAGCAGCTCCACATCCTTCTTGTACTGTGGGGCCCAGAACTGGACACAATACTCCAGATGTGGCCTCACCAGGACTGAGTAGAGGGGCAGAATCACCTCCCTCGACCTGCTATGTTCAAACACTCACACTGTGAGCAGCATTTGGTCAAAGTAGCCCTTCATTCTCCATTTGTGATGACAAAAACCCGGTCAGTCAACAGCCAGGCAAAGATAAAAAGACTGTGAGCCACAGTTGTTACTATAAGGAGTTCCAGACACTGTGCTGAACACTAGTGACAGACAACTATCTTAAGATTCAGAACCATGGCACGGATTTTATATGGCACCAACAGCCCCTTCCAGTGTTAAAGCACCATGAGAGGCTTGCAGAGACCCTATCCCGGGCTGTGATGGGTTTCTGAACCAACAAGGGTAACCCAGCACCTCTCACACACCCATGCTCAGACAGCTAGTTACATCTTTGAGGATATCTAACAGCTATTCAACACAAAAGATAAGGCAAGGAACAGAAGAGGTAATAAATTAAACAGAGAGACACACAAACCTTAACACACAGCTGATAACAGAGGCAGTAAAAAAGACTAGAACTCAGAAGACGTTGATTGATGGGCCATTGCAGGAACCACCGTGTGTAACCTTGAAGAAATTCAACCAGAAACTTCGGAACTGATAACACAAACACAAAATTATTGTGGGTTATCAGAATGAGTCTAATAAGAAAGAGGAAACTTCTGTGGGGGACTGAGGGCCCTCACAGAACTTACTGGAGGACGTTTTCACTATTGTAGGAACATGAAAGACATCATAGATGGTCAGTGGAAAGATCAAAGATGGGCAAAGAGAGAGGTTAAGATGGCTCAGGGTGGAACAAGCATGGGGGAAGAGGGACGGGAATTAAACAGCCCAATTTTGTGCACACATTGATCCACACATGGGTCTGGCTGAGGCCTTCACAGGACCAGCACAATCCGTCCCATCTTCCTGGTAAAATCTATTCCTCCCTCTTTACTGCATGGAGCATGCTCTCTATTCCCTGTGTGCATTATACACTACCAGACCTTAAGCCAAGCTGGAAGGCAGGACAAAACATCCGAGCGCTGGACATTGCAGAGAGCAGAAGTGTGAGGGCCAGTTACCAGACACCTTGGGGCAAGGGATATTCCCCTAGGCAGCTGTGCTTAGTAAGAGGGTTGGGGTTGTTCATATTGTCTACGTTTACAGAGTTGTCTGTAAGGCACCATCCTTCTGTCCATGCTGCTCTGCTTGTGGTCAGCCACATGCAAAGTAAGGCTGCACACGCGTACACCTCTCAGGAACGTGGTGGGACACAGAAGGGGCATAAGGCTCTGACCCTTCCCTTCGCCCCACTTGGTGAAACAGCAACTGTGCTACTAAAAGAGAAGCAGCAAGTTGTCTGGCTGTTCAACTTTCCCCAAACACTTTTAAGACAGTAAAATGTATGCCTGAAGGAGGAAGGTGAAGCCCAATGTTGCTTTTTCTGACATAGTTTTGTTATGGCACAAGAGTGAAAAATTAAGTACTAGGTCCTTCTAGAAAATTCAGGGGACACTGAAGTTACTCTTTTGCAGACTCTCAGAAAGACTGCTTCCTCCTTCCCTGCCCAAGAAGGGATGAAAATTCCCCTGCTTTAATCAATGCTTAGAGTTGGAGAGTGAGCACCCAATGAAACACAGAGTGCTGAAGGTAGATGCTCTCTTCCACATCACATGCATCCATATCACTAGGTCTAGCCCTAAAATAAAATCCCCTTTCCCGTAATGGCTAGAACCTATCCAACCACACAAGATTGACACAGAAAGACACACTTGGGAATAAGTAGAAAAGACCAAAGCTCTCTTCCCAGCCTTGCTGAAAGTCATCTATTACAAGACTTATTATCTGGCTTGCAGGAAAGGGGAAAAGTGATTTTTTACTTTCAGTTTACTTTTGAGCCTTTCTCAGCAAAAACTTCGAACTGTCCAGCTTCTTCCAGATCAAGTACTGTCAAAAATGCAGTATATTTTCAGCTTACAGTATTACAGACAAGTCCCAGCTCCTTAAGAGTGAAAGAAATTACTAAGAGATAAGCAGATCTTTCTGCCAACTCCAGCATCTCTTTTATCAACCCCAGTTCACTGGATTCTGCTGAAATGTCCCTAGATTGGAAGGTCAGTATTATTCTCATCCAGGGAGAAAAAAAAAAAAAAAACACAGCAGTTTGAACTTGGCTTTATCTGAAGAGAATAGAAACAGTCATATTTTAAGGAAGTGCAACACATTTTAATAAAAACTGTTTCTTTCATCTTTATACTGGGTCTTACTGCAACATAAAATTTTATTGTGCCAACTCAACTCACAGGTGAGAATCCACATTCCTAGACACACGAAGTGGTAGTTGCTCAGGGTCGACAAGTCATCTGCAGAGCAACATTAAACTCTTCAGCCATCAGTTCCTTCAAGCAAACTGGTAGCAAACTGCTATGTTAAAGTCTAAGGCTATCAAAAAAGTCTGTGATAGACAGTGTTTAACTGTTAGTTATGTGATTTAATGGGGATGTTTACTACGTTTTTTTCACTGCTTCAGTAATTTTAGGGTAATTAACACAAACAAGATAGGATGTCCCTTTAGAGCTTTCTTTCTTCCCCCTATTTTCACATTAATTTCAGGGGTTTTTTTCTACTTTTCCTTCCCTTGAAATCTGTTAAAAGGAATTTACACTATTCGCTATTCACTCATTAACACAGGGTGATGAGTAATGATAAACAATTTATTAAACTAAAAAAAAAGAAAAACCCTTTAGTATTTATATTAAGTTTCAGGTCATAAAAGTTTGAAAAACCAAATAAACCTTTAAGACAGTTTTAAGACACAGAATAAAAGATATTAAAGCTGTGACACATATATATACTTATAAATATTGCATTATTTATTGCATTTGTATGTTAAGGGATAATGCTTTTAAAGTCACTCAAGATAGGTACTTTTAAAAAAAGGAACAAATTTAAACCAAATGGCGTTTATTAGAAATAAATATTGTGTGAGCATGTTGACTTATTTCAATTTCATGGTCAGCCTACAATAAGCTAAAGAGGTATCTCTCTAATTATAATTTATAACTTGAAAGGCATTTTTCTTTAAAAAGCAGCAAACAGGAAATGTTTAAAGTGTGTCAAAGCTTTTGATGAATCTTTACAACTGCTCATAAAAGCTCATCCTGCTTAAAATAATATTGATTTTTCATTTATTTTCCTAGATACTAGAAGATTTATGTTTCATCTGATCAGGATCAAAGTCTTCCCCCTCCTGATCACTGAGATTAAATCAGCAATGTCATTTTACATGTTTAAAAACTATGCAGCTAAAGCGAGATGTAAGAGCGTAGTAATGCTGATGATAGAGCCCTCAGAATAAAAACCCCTCAAGATTCCTGTCTCTCTCCCTCTCCGCATTTGCTGCGGAGCAGCTGTGCCTCACACAGATTCACATGAATGAAAATATTAAGGCGAGAAACCACCCACTTAGTTTATTTTCCATATGACTTTCCTGTAATTATTTTGTAAACTGTTCACACAACAATATATAAAAACATCTGCAAAAACAGGTAATTAATGTGTCAAGCCAAACTAATGCATTTTTATGGTGTCCATGCTTCGTCAACTGTAATTATAACTCTTTTTAAGCAAATGATGATGTGTTTGTTGCAATGTGCAAGTGGTTATTTTAGATGCTCTGTTTACTACTACTGCAAACAGAATATAAAAACTCTGCAGCTACTTTGTTGCACATATAAGCCTTCATCTACACAAGCAGGCTGCTCCCTCATTTTCCAAAGGCTTTGCCTCTTTGAAAAAAAAAAAAAAAAAAACACACACACAAAACTTAAAATGAAAATCGGCTTTGGAAAGGCAGATCAGGCCACCC